ATACAAAACGAGGAAGCACGATATTCTGTTCTGTGGCAGCTCTCTCCCTCTCTCCTGTGAAATTTCCGTGTATTTTGTAATGCTTCCTGTTGTATCAGATGTATTTCAGGTTTTCTGCAATACAAATACAGCCAAATATCGTGCAAAATTCTCCGTATTCAATGCCAAAAATGAGGAAGCTCCGACCACTGTATATACTGGAACACAGCAGGTCTGTTTTTTGGTGCACAACGTGAAACAGTTAAGCCTACTTTGATCACATTGAAACAAAAGCACTGGAGCACCCAGCGCATTATGGCGATGTTATGTTTGTGTTTATTTCTGTCTGTGTAATTCAGCTCTCGAAATTGAAAACAACAGAACTGGGTTTGGAAATCGATTTTTACGCCTTGTGTACCGTGCAACAGCTGCACAAAACGCATATTGTCATGGGCCTTTCTGTAAGTATGTTTGTGTGTGTGTGTGTCCGCAGCAACTTGTTCGCAGCTTTCAACTCGGGAACCACGAAAACTAACTAGCAAGTTGAAATTTTGAGATAATATTCCCATGCATGACCCCGTAGGTTTATGTTTAGTCTTCCCGTACGCCTGAGTATCGATTGTCTCCGTGAAAATTTTGGCAGAGGAAATTATTATATTTTTGAGCTAGAAGAGCCATAAGGCTGAAAATTTCAGGAGATTGTTTTCCGCTTACCCAGGGGCCTCACAAACTCAAATTTAGCTCCCAGGTATGCCGAGGACTCATGTGCAACCACATGAAAATGTTGGCGCGAGAGCCACTCGGAAAGCAGGAAATTAGGAGATTGAAATTTTTGGAAGGATTTTCACGGTCCTGCAAATTCAGCTTCCACGTACGCTTACATTTCACGTACCAGTACGTGAAATTTTTAGTGGAAATCTCGCAGCTTAGGAACCGGGCGATGTAATAACTATTTTTGCACAGAACGAAGTGATAAAATAGTGAAGAAGCTTAGCAGACGAATGTCCTCTGCTGGGTGGAATTGCGCAAAACGCATGATCACACTGGCTACCTGGTAAGGTTGCCATTTTTTTAGGTTGTCATGCTTAACTTCACATCTTTCACCCCATGGCTTCACTCTTAAGTTCGTGGCAGACTAATGATTCGAGAACCAGCAAGTTTCCAATCAAAAGTTTGCATGTTTCATCGCGCAGTGTGTGTTAAGGAATCCAGAATTGAATCATCAAAATTCAATGTCCTGAGCTGTGATTGTAGGCCCGAGTTCGTGCTAATTTTTTTGTAAAGTTAAAAGCAAACTCAAATTTTTAAGGGTTAAATTCATTGCACAAAACGGTGTGAATAATCTGAAGTCAGCTTTTAAAACCCGACATTTCTGGTCTCTGCTCATATTTCTAAGCATGAGCTGAAATTGTGAGGAATTGTTGGAACCATGGATTTGGAAGACATATTCTTTTATAAGCAAGACAGATTGGCGACTTTTTGCATCAGGCATGGGTAACCTTTGGCGACACGCACGCCTAATTTGCATACTTAAGCTCGCGGACAATCTTTTAATAAAACCCAGGTAACAAAGCAACAGGCATGCCCGTGCAACCATGCGTTTTTATGCCAAATTTGAAGTATGATCGTTAACAGTGTGAATGATTGTTGCATTACAGTTTAACATGCCCAACTAATGTGTTTGTGTTTTGGTCTTTTCTTGCATTTGGAGGAAAAGGGCGTCGGCTAGAACAGTAGTGTTGCATCATGGCTCTCATCGTTGTTGATTTGAAAACGGGCGGAAAAGTTCACCCGTTTCCGAAAAAGCACGCACACAGACATGCTCTCAGTATTATGCGTTTTTGCATTTGCATAAGTTTTTGTCAGGTTGCTCACTCAGTAAAACCAGACTGGAACGCAACAGACTTGCCAGTGCGATCATGCGTTTTTGCGCTAAATTGAAGATCGCTAACAGCAGGAATGGTCACTACTTTGTAGTTTAGTACTTAATCATATTGACTGTGTTTCGACCTCTTCCTGCACCTGAGGTAGAGGGCGTCGGCTGGGATGAAGGTGTTGCATTGTAGAGCCGCATGGACTTTCAGCGTTTACAATTATCAGTTTTTTGCATGAAACACGGTCGTTTTCCGACAAATGCCCGCTCATTGAAAAAAAATACAAATTTGAATGAAATCGGAAGAGGACTATGAAATCCGCAAAATGCGCTGGTTTTTGAATTTGCAGTAAAATAGAGTATTTCTCATAATCACTTGCAGAGAATTTCATCTCTAAACTGAGTTAAAACCACACGCGAAATTATTATATCCCAGCGAAGGTTCAGCTTCGCAAGTTATCCGATAAGCAAATTAGCTACTCCCTATAAATATCATTGAAGTGTCCCTAGTCGTGGAGCAAGTGCCGGAATTCAGTTTAGGTATGCGATTTTCCATATGAACGATAAATATTCTGACAAAATTTTAGTCATGTATTCCAGCTAGTTATGCGTTTTGTGCTGTGTAACAGCAGTACAAAACACATATTGTTACGGGGTTGTCTGTGTGTGTGTGTGTGTGTCCGCAGCAACTTGTCCACAACTTTCAACTCGACAACCACAAAAGCTAGGAAACTGAAAATTTGGGGTAACGTTGCCCACCCACGTGTGACCCTGCAAATTTAAATTCAGCTTCCCCGTACCCGCGGGTAACGCGTGCGGCCCTGTGAAATTTTCTACGGGGTAATATCTCGGGAACCACGAGGTCTAGGGAGCTGGAATTAGCTGGAATTTTAAGGTAATGACCCCCTGCCCACGCTCAACCTTACCCATTCAAATTCAGCGTTCCCGCAATCTCGGGTATCACCTACGGGCTAGTGGAAACTTTGGCGGGTAAACTGTTAACTTGAGGATCACGGAAAGATATTCACCCTCCAAGGTTTCGAATTCAGCTTTCATGCGCTGGTGCGTGAAATTT